TTGTGTGTGTGTGTGTGTGTTTGTGTGTGTGTGTGTGTGTGGTTGGGGGGGGGGAGTCAGCTGCAGATAACAGAGCAGGCAGGAGGGGGAGGACGAGGGAGAAGAGTGGTGAACTTATTTCTAACTTTATCTGACTTATTTAATTTTATTCATTCTTTTTATCATCCTGCAGGCTCTGAGAGAAAATTAATTTGAAGCTGAGTTTTTGATAAAAATTGTTAATTACTCGTTAATTTTAATTAAACGTCTGTAAACCTGCAAAATGAGGGAAAATCTGTGTCAGTTACAGACATTCTGTTCATGTAGCAGTTGTCAGCACCTGTCATCCTCTAGACTCACGACGCAGTGTGTCTGAACCAATCGCTTTTGTTAGCATTGATCAGCTGACTGATTTAAATACATCTTAACATTCATGAGGTACTTTGTATTGACTGTTTATGGTTGAGTGTGGGCGTGGAGAGGGTAGAACCTGAGGCGGGACCTTGTGCACAAACTCTGAGTTGAAGCTGTGATCTATAAATGAAAGGTGCACAGAAACATACGTACACATGATTTTATAAATTGAAAATTTTTTTTCCATTTTCGTCTTTTTGCCGTACTTTCATTTTTAGTGTGGTTCTCACGCAATCCTTTATAAATCTGACCCCAGAAACTCATGGATGTAGATAAAACATGTGCACAGAGGAATCCATCTGATAAAAACTGTGGTGCTTTAACTGCAACAAATTTGTGGAGAAATTACGTCAGTGGATGGGTCTCGGATTTTATTGTGTGATTGGTCAGAAGTTTGCAGCAGTGTTTGTTCATGCTAAAAGTGCTCAGACGCTACACTTTCCTTCAACCACTCACTTCCAAAAAACAAACACACAAAAAAGGCTATTTTTGTACCAGGAAGCAGACATTTATAAATATAGCGAAATGGTCAAAAACTCATGAATGGAGATAAAATAGACCTTATGCACAGTGAAATCTGCCTGATAAATACTGTGCAGCTTTAACCGTGACAGATTTGTGGACAAATATTGTCAGGGGATGGGTCTCAGATTTTTTCCTGCGTTGTAGACTCTAGGTAGAAGAAACCCCACACAGTGATGTACGCTGCAGCAAGAAGGATTTCCCAGGAGCTCGGCATGGTGTGTCTCAGGGACAATGAAAGGTGTGTGCAAAAATGAATGCCAAAAAACCACATGACCATGCATTGCCTGGTTGGCTTTGGAAGGAGTATGTTCAGGCCTTCAGAAATCTGCAGATGTCTGTTATAAATGTAAAATCTTTTCAATTCTCAAAATGAAAAAATAAATCAGTATTAGTTTTCTA